TACTAACCTGTTGATCCAAAATAAGTTGTTAGGAAATGTTTCTATAAAAAAAAACATAAAATAATTATATTAAAACAATTATTAAAAACAAAAAACAAGTCCGTTCGTTATACAAAAAGTTGTTAATAAATTCAAATGTGTTGCCAGTATTGCTATTGAGCATTGCGTAACGGCGTTGCGTAAGTTAATTTTATATTACTTTTCAAAAATGAAATATATCCACCGTATTTTATATCATAAAGATATTGCAACTTCAACAAATATCTTATTTTAGGAGTCTATATATTTAAAAACTAAACTTAGAACTATATAACAATATGGTAATTTATATATGTGAAGAGTTATATGTAAAATATTGTACATATTATAATCGCTACATGCTGAAATACAAAGACAGCTACCTGGTATGCCTACCGTATTTTATACTATAAAGATATTGCAACTTCAACAAATAATTTATTTTAGAAGTGTATATATTTAAAAACTAAAATAAGCAATATAAAATATATGGTAATTTCTGATGTCAGGAGTTGTAATTAAATATTGTACATATATCCGCCGCTAAATGTTGAAAAAATATAATTAAATATTAATAAATGAAATTATAAAACGTAAATAAAATTTGTGATTAAATAAATCTATACTTAAATTAGAGAAAACATCGGCACAGTAACTATTTTTTTGATATAAGTACAATGAGAAATTTTACTTTATTGTTTAAATGAACTATTATCACTTGTATGACAATGATAAGTTTCGCTTTTTTGATTATATGAATTATTATTACTTATAATATCAAATTCTGTTGCAATAGATATTTCTTCCCACTCATAGTAAAATTGAATTTTCAGTTAGTCCACTAATAAGTTAATTAAAATGCTTAAAAATATGCCGCATATTTACCTATATCAATATGGTATAATATCATCATTCTATAACCAAAATTTAAAATATTTATAAGTAATTATTAAGGCGTTTTCTATTATGCGCAACCCGTTTTAACCCCTCGCCACTCTGTTGTTGTTGCTGTTGTAACGGTTATCTAGTCCCCGTTTGGGTGATAAATTCCACATTCGTTGTCGTCGAGGTCATCTAACGGGAGGCCCAGGAAACGAGCTGTTTCGACGGGGTCGGACTATAGGGAAAAGGGTGTTAGATGAGTTGGGTTTGTTGGACATGCAAAGAGGTGGTTAGTATCATGCGGAGCCTCATTGCACGCAGGACATATGTTTGGATTGTCGGGGTATATTCTGGATAAGTAGGAGTTTAACCTGCTACAATATCCAGAACGAAGTTGCGCGAGGATCACTCTGGTTTCGCGAGGCACCTCGAGCTCTACGTCTGCTATGGGTGGTGGTTTGAACGATTTGAGGATTTTGTTGCGGCTCTGTACTTTGGCACTTATCGCGGTCGTGTGAGGAGTGAAGGAGCACAGACTGTTCAATGTTACGACTAAAATTTTAGGGTTATTAACTGTTGCAATTTTTGTGCCATCGACTGAAATGTTCAGTCTGTATTCCTTCGTCCAATTTGTGAATATGGTCGCTGTGGATTTAGTGGGGGAGAGTGTCAGACTCCTTGCAGAGAAAAAGCGAGAATGTTCGGAGAGGTATTTACTTTTGAGCGGAGGAGCTGTTTACTTTTGAGCACATGCCATCGATTCCATTGCCCGACGTCAATATCAAGCAGTCATCAGCGTACAAGGTCACGAAAATTCCCGCTGGTGGTTGGGGGGGTTTCGAAACGTTGAAATTAAACAGTAGTGAGTAGAGGACACCGCCCTGTGGAACCCCCTGTTTAATTCTTCTAAGTTTGGAGTTCTGGCCTCGAAACAGTACGGATGAATGCCGACCGCTCAGATAGTTCATGGTCCAACGCTTCAGCCCTGGAGGGAGCGGTGATTGTTCTAGGTCCTCAAGTAGCGTTGTGTGATTGACTGTGTCAAAAGCTTTTGCCAGGTCCAGGGTGGCTTCCGGTTTACGCCATGAATTATCTGGGCGTTTATGGCGCTAAGTGCTGTGGTGATGCTGTGCACTTTTGGGAAGCCATGCTGATGGTCTGCTAGACTCAGGTGATGAGTGAACGTCGGGAGTAGCAAGGCCTCAAGTGTCTTCACTACTAGGGAAAAGAGTTATCGGGCGATAGGACTCCCCTTTGTTTGCTGGTTTCCCAGGTTTCAGTAGTGGGACCACTCTTCCGACTTTCTACACATCGGGTATTTGAAGAGTGGATATCGACAAGTTGTGGACCTTGGTGAGGTAGCTTACTCCCGTCGAGCCTAGATGTTTAGCATCAGCATGCTTATTCCGTCAGGGCTAATGGATTTAGACGATTTGGCCTTTTTGATGACACTCTGAACCTCCCCATCGGTGAAAGTAATTGTTGCGCAGTCTTTTGGCATTTTGCGCAGCCGTCAGTGGAACCGTGCAGTGAAAACTGCCGGCTAAAATAGCTCGCGCACTTCTTCGGGTCCGAGGAGGCATGGCCATCGAATTGAATTTCAACCCGGTCGTCATGTCTCTTCGGATTAGACAAGGCCTTGACAGTAGTCCAAAGCTTACTGACACCGGTGGAGAGATTGCAGGACTTCAGGTGCTCTATCCATTTTGTCCACTTATGTTGATTTACCATTTGCCGAATCTCCAAATTGAGATCCCTTATTCGGGGATCACAGGGATCGGCATGGCGTAAGGCGTCGCGCTCTTTTGCTAGTACAGCTGCTTCGGCTGGGAAATTTAAGCGGAGTTCCGCGATTCTACAAGCTGGTATGAAGCGAGCGGTAGCAGCAGCGATCACGTCCGTAGGAATTGGTAGTGCGTTGAAGGTGCTCTCAGTAAATTCTGTGAAACCGACCCAGTTAGCTTTGGTAAAGTTAATGAAGGTGCGGTTGTCCACAGAAATAAAGTAGGGAGGTTTCTCGATTGAGATAATTATGGGCAGATGGTCTGATGCGAGAGTTAGCATCGGTCGCCAGGTTATGCTATTTATCACACCACCGCTAGCGATGGTAATATCGGGCGAGCTATTACAGGTGCCCATAATTCTGGTGGGGGCTTCGTCATTTATTGTGCAGAATGTCGAATCGTCAATCTATTCCGCCAGCTCCATCCCCCTACGATCATTTGACAGGCAGGAATGCCAAAGATCGTGATGTGCGTTAAAGTCGCCTAGCACCAAACGGTTTTCACCACGAAGTTGCGCATCTATGTTCGGATGATATCCTGTTGGGCAACACGTTACTGGGGGGATGTATATATTAAACATTTCGAGCTCGACATCGCCTGACCGAACAGCTATACCCTGACATTCTAGGGTAGTGTCCCTGCGTTTGTTGTTGGTCAGACTGGGAGTCATGCTGTCTGTATGAGCTCCTTAGGGCCGTGGAAGTCCTATCTTGGCCACTCGACTGGAGCGGCAGCGCAGTGCTCGAACATGGTACAGGTTGCACAGCCGTTGAGGCAAATGTCGCATTATTGCGTTGACAGCATGGGGCCACGTAACTTGTGGTCCACTCCCTATGTGTCTTAAGGCCTGAACAGGTCTTAAGATGGCTCCATCCATTGTATGTATTGCACCTTACCGAGGTGGAGTTTGGATGGAGCCTTTTAGCGCAAACGCAGCAGTAAAATTTCTCGGGGTCCGGGTTGGACTTGATGCCAGCACGGGTCAGGAGGATACGGAGCAACCCTGCTGCTAGGCGCTGCTCCAATGACGACAAACTAAATCTAGAACTTACCGATCCAAACAGTGTTAGATCGCCGAAATAACATCCCTTGGCCGGATAAAATCCGGGTCAATTCCGGTATCGCAGAACCGGCTGTTGTGGGAATTGAACTCGCCTCGCTACCCTAACTCACCATGGCCGCCATTTTGGTTTTTTTGTGAAGGTACGCTCAGAGGTCGCGAAACTACTGCGAATGGGACTTTCGATACTCCCTTATACCATGATTTAGACAACAGCACGACTTCACAGCAGTAGGCTTGCAGGCGAGGGGTTAAAATGGGTTGCGCATTGCAGAAAACGCCTCAATAATTATTTTTAAATATTTGAAATTTTGGTTATTAATTGATGTTTGATGCTAACAGCATCATGGTATATGATATTATACCATGTTGATATAGGTGTAGACATATTTTTAAGCATTTTAATTAACTTATTAATGGGCTAACTGAAAATTCAATTTAACTATGAGTGGAAGGGAAGAAATAACTATTGTAACATAATTTGATATTATAAGTAATAATAATTTATATATATCAAAAAAGGAAAACTTATTATTGTCATACAAGTGATAATAATTCATTTAAACAATAAAGTAAAATTTCTCATTGTACTTATATCAAAAAAATAGTTACTGTTCCGATATTTTCTCTAATTTAAGTATAGACTTATTTAATCACAAACTTATTTGGTAAATATGTACTTAATGACCCCCACTTCGTAGGGGGTTGGGGTTGTAAGGGGTGACACAATTAAGTGTCCTTTTTATGAATTCGAAGGAATTACCCGTCGGTCACCCCTTAAAAAAAGGTTATGGAGGGTGGAAATACAAATATTTCTTTATTAATTAAATGGCTGATCTTTTGTGCCGCGTTTTTATGGAATGAATGAATATCGGAGATCGTCGAACTCCTTTCCGCACTGGCGGCCTTCGGCGCGCTTCACAAAAATAACCCTGGTCGGTCAAAAACCGGGGTGTTCATAATTCAATCGCGTCAAACTCCTTTCTGCACTGGCGGCCTTCGGCCGCACTCCAAAAAAATAACCCTGGTCGGTCCAAAACCAGGGTGTTCATAATTCAATTGCGTCAAACTCCTTTCTGCACAAACAGCAGCAAAAGGATTCACGAAATTTTAACCCTTCATATAATTTTTTGACGTGTGGCCGACGGCTAAATCCACTGAAATTGTATTTCACAGACTCCCTTCACATACCATCTGCCACTCCAACCCCTTCCGAAGTGGGAGTCATTAAGTACATAATTACCGCTTATTTATGTTTTATTATTTCATTTATTAATATTTAATTATATTTTTTCAGCATTTAGCGGTGGATATATGTACAATATTTTATTACAACTCTTGACATAAGAAATTACCATTTATTTTATATTGCTTATTTTAGTTTTTAAATATATAGACTTCTAAAATAAATTATTTGTTGAAGTTGCAATATCTTTATAGTATAAAATACGGTAGGCATACCAGGTAGCTGTCTTTGTATTTCAGCATGTAGCGATTATAATATGTACAATATTTTACATATAACTCTTTACATATATAAATTACCATACTGTTATATAGTTCTAAGTTTAGTTTTTAAATATATAGACTCCTAAAATAAGATATTTGTTGAAGTTGCAATATCTTTATGGTATAAAATACGGTAGATATAAATATTTTTTGAAAAGTAATTAAAAATTAGCTTTCGCAATACTGTTACGCAATGCTCAATAGCAATACTGGCAACACATTTGAATTTATTAACAACTTTTGTAAAACGAACGGACTTGTTTTTTGTTTTTGATAATTGTTTTAATATAATTATTTTATGTTTTTTTTTTATAGAAACATTTCCTAACAACTTATTTTGGATCAACAGGTTAGTATTATTTTCTATAATTTGAATTAAAATAATTTTCTCAGGGTTTCTGTTGGATCTCCACTGTTGGCAATGCATGCACATAAAATGTATTTATATAAGTATTATTGTAAAATGAATTGTTTGAATGTTTTTGTTTTTATATATTTATTTATTATATAGAATATTGTTATTTAGTTTTAAGATATATGGGTAAAAATAGGCCTCCTGTGGAATAGAACACCGCAAAAATCGGTAACGCACCTAGTTGCATACCTCATGGTGGTGTGGAAAATGCAATATAGATATAAGAAAATTTATAAAAATCTAACGAAATAAAACATATAGTATTTGACACAGAAAAAATTCTGGTTTTATTTAAACCAAGTATTTATATTAACAGGTTCGATTTTTAAATTGTTTCAGTGAATGCAAAGAGGTGTTGCAAATAAAGAAATTTCCCATGTTTCTAACTTTTATTGGTGGTGAGCACTATAGTACTGGCTTTGAAAACAATTAGATGCACACTAAAACATTTACTTTGATAAAAGCAATTTGATCGTAGGAGTAAATTACATTTAAGCAATTTTGTATCATTTACAACGTAATGTTTGTTTCTTTTCATCAGAACATATTTTTTACAATTTCACTTTCCAAATCGTTGTCATACATAAATCAGTTTCCAAATTAAAATCACTATATACGCAATCTAAATCAGGGTCTATTAATTATATGTAGCATCAGGGTCTTTTAATTATATTTAAATGTATAATGTATAATATAAATTTCATCCCAAAGACACCGAAACTTTTTATAAAATCCTCTGGAAAAAAATAATTTTAGTTATTATATATTATTACTTTATATGCACATAATTATTGATAAAAATTCTTGAGTGAGCAGTTTTATCAGGAGCATTATTAAATATTCATTATTTTACGAAGATTGGTTTGCAAATTTATAAGCCTTGCCTCAGTTTCGTTGAATAAGCATTTTCTGCATCCCGTTTTAGTTTGAAAAAATATTAAAGTTTAACATATAACAAAAATTGTTTGGACAACTTTTTTATAAATTAAAAGAAAATAGCAAGATGCAACCATTGTCCGGTTAAAATTCGGACATCTTGGCTGTCAATAGAAACTCAACCATTCAGTTGTGGTTCTGTTGACATCGGTCACCTGATTCTTACTCTTTACGATGGTCTAAATAACATTTGTATAAATATTGGCAGATGCTGCCAAAAAATTATCGATTAAAAGTGCAATTGATTATTTTATTCAAAAAATAATAAACCTGCATCCCTAGCAGAATTTACATTGTCGGTTGTTTAGGGTGAAGTTTGATTATGTTGTTTATGTCGTATGGCTAGAATTATGTGGTGGCTTTGTAAAATATACTTAACTTGCTAATTATACATACTTTAAAGGACCATGTTATATTATGACAATATCCAATGTAAGTCACATAAAGATATAGCTTGCTAACCTCGCTGTCTATATCAAGAAATAATGTTAAGAAAGTTGGATAATGGTTGAGTAATCTGAAATGTGTTGACACATTAATACAATATACAAACTGTCAATAATTGATAGTATTAATATAAATATTGAAATAAATAAACCATTAAATTATTGAGGAATGGAAATAATATAGTTGATCTTTTATAATTGCTTAATGTTATGTTCGGTATCCTGCTGAATACAAAGCACGGCTTATACTAATATACTCATGTATATTTATAAAGGACGCTAAATCACTTGGTTAATTTGGAAACACTTTTTTGTAAATTATTAATACATATATACTTAAGTAGATGTTGTTGTTGTTGTTGTAGCGGCAGAGTTCTGCCGAGTTAACAGTTCTTGGCCGGAATAAACCCGGGTCCGTTCCGGTTACGTAGCCCCGACTGTCGTAGGAACGGATATCTGAGTATTTAAGTAGATAATAGTAAATTGTGAATAATATCCAGAATATTTTTTGGATTAAAAAATAAAACTTTGTATTTTTTTTATTTATAATATAGATGACAAAAGACTACGACTACTTATTAAAGGTGCTTTTAGTGGGAGATAGCGATGTTGGTAAACACGAAATATTATCCTGCCTTGAAGATGCATCATCAGAAAGTCCATTTTGTAGCGGAAATGGTAACCTTGAATAAAGTGATGTACTAAAGTAAATAATTAAATTATATCCAAAATTATAGCTTATAAAACAACGACTATTCTTCTGGAAGGGAAACGTGTTAAGCTGCAAATTTGGGATACATCTGGACAAGGCCGGTTTTGCACCATTATAAGGTCCTATTCAAGAGGGGCACAAGGAATCATCTTAGTTTACGATATTACAAACAAATGGAGCTTCGATGGAATTGACAGGTGGCTCAAGGAAGTGGAAGAGGTATATTGTACTCTATTTTTTTTATTAACCATGTCGTCACCTAATATGCAAAATAAGATTTAATGAAGATTTCTATGTTGTATGTACAAAAAGTTGAGGACGAAACATGATTTTCGTAAACCAAACTCTTATTTAATATATCCAAAATTTGTATCAATATCTCAAATAATTACGTTTCCATATCGTTTTTTGCAAAATTTCGATTTCTTTGGCGCCGAGTTAAACACATACCATACAGACTTATAGTTTTCAAGATATTTTTTATTTAAAATTCAAAAATTATAAAGGCAATGCACGCTATTTCACTATGTTTAACACACTTTTCACACCTTTATCAATTAATATGTTTGAAATTACACTGTATACGTTGAAATAAAGGGTGATCTATTTGGAGGTACCTACTTTTTTAAAGAAACAAACACAAAAAATTCAAATTGAATGGGAAATGTTTATATCATTCGAAAAAACATTATTTGGATTTTTTTTTTTAATTATCTCTTTCAAATGTTGTTCGCGGCTACGTCTCAGATGGTCCATACGTTGAGTAAAATGTTCGATGACTCGTTTGAGCATTTCGACTGGTAACTGGCGAATGACACGCGTGACTTTAGACTTTACATGTTAATCGGCCGGCCCAAAACGTGAAATTATCTGTTCACCGAATTGTTCTCTCAATAAATCCGTTGATTGATGCAATGTGTGGGAAGTGGCGCCCTCTTGTTGAAACCAACTGTCGCCGAGATCACGAGTCTCAATTTCAGGTATTAAAAAGTCGGTTATCATGGCGCGATGACGATTGTTGTTGTTGTTGTAACAGTTATCTAGTTCCCGCTTGGGTGGTAAGTTATAGTTTGGTTGTCGTCGAGGTCATCAAACGGGAGGCCCAGGAAACGAGATGTTTCGACAGGGTCGGACCATAGGTAAATGGGTTTTAGATGAGTGGGTTCGTTGGACATGCAAAAAGTGGTTAGTGTATATTTGGTATATAGGGGTCGATTCTGGATAAGTAGGAGCTTAACCTGTTACAGTATCCAGACCGAAGTTGCGCGAAGGTCACTCTAGATTCACAAGGCAACTCGAGCTCTACGTCTGCGATGGGTGGTGGTTTGACTCCTAGTATGCCATTCACTGAAAGGGAGTCGGTGAAGGTGTTGATGGCTCCACTATGAATGGCGGTCATTGCTTGTCTAAAGTTCGTTGCGTCCGAAGTCTGGTCGGCGTATTGTCTAATGTCGTCGACGTAATCAAGAAAGGACCTTTTGATTTTCTTAGGGGGCGGTTCCGCTTCAAGCAGACGATTGCAGGTGTGGTTTCTACGGAAATATCCCAGCAGAAACTGCTTGAAGAGGAGCTCGTTATGTTCCTTAACCGGAAGCATACGGGCCCCACAATGCAGTTGTTCTATTGGGAACATCAAGAGGCATCCCGTGATAGTCCGGAGTACATTGTTTTGACAAGTATGAAGCTTTTTCGTTCGCGTTGCACTACATCCAGGCGACCATATTGGAGCAGCATAGTTAAAGACTGGTCGGCCGATTGCCTTGTAAGTTGCCAGCAGCGTTTCTTTGACCTTTCCCCAAGAGCTGTCGGCAAGCGATTGGATGATTTTGTTGCGGCTCTGTACTTTAGCAGTTATCGCGGTCGTGTGACTGAAGGAGCACAGGCTGTCGAATGTAACGCCTAAAATTTAAGGGTTGTTCGGAATTTTAATGTTATCGACTGAAATGTCTAGATCTAGTCTCTAATCCTTCGTCCAGTTTGTAAAAATTGTCGCTGTGTAATTAGTGGGGGAGGATGTCAGGCTCCTTGCAGAAAGATAGCGAGAAAGGTCGGAGAGATAGCCGTTTCCTTTCGAGCACATGCCATAGATTCCATTGCCCGACGTCAATATCGTGCAGTCATCAGCGTACGAGGTCATGGAATTCCCTCAGGTGGCTGGGGGAGTTTGGAATTTCGGTCGCCATTGACGGTTACGTTGGGTGCGTTCGAGATGGCAATTACGACAGCAGTGTTACAAATTTGTCAAAGAATCTCTTTAGGTTGCTCTTCGTCCCAAATGCGGCAATTTTGCTTATTGACATAACCATTGAGCCAGAAGTATGCCCCATCTCTAAACAAATTTTGGCTCGAAAACCTCGGATCTTTTTGGAACTTTTCAAGAGCCCATATAGCGAAGCTATATCGCTTGGAAAGTCGAGCGTCTTCAGGACCTTTATTTTGCCCAAATCTTCAGTTCAAATTTTTCAAATTCTCTTTTTACTCGTGTTTAATTTTTCAGCCAAAATTCATGTAGTAACATTTGCCTCAATACCAATTATTTCACGCACTTTTTCCACCAATTCAGCACGATTACTAGCTTCTGGACAACCTGGCATTTGGTCGTCATTTAAATTTTCACGACCATTTATAAATCGTGTTAACTGCCTATAAACTTGAGTACGACTCATACAATCATCACCATAAACTTTTTTTTCATAAGTTCGTATGTTTCATCTTTTTTTTTTAATGTTTGGCACAAAATTGTATAATTGCTCTTTGTAAAAATTTAACAAATGCACACTATTTCGGTTGTTGAAATGACTGTAACTTTAATATATGTATATAATTCCCAACGGCAACTATATCGCGATAATATACATATCTGTCAGCGTCAAAAGAAAGTGTACACCTTTTTCTCATACATTTCACTCTTTATTTCAATATAAAAATATTAATTTTTTTTCAAATCAATTATGATTTATACATTATTGAATATTGTTCTTACAAAAACTTAACAGCAATCCAAAATAAAATCCACAAGTACAAAACAACACATACAAAACCAAATATATTCAATATTTCAGGCGTCAAAACAAAGTGTACAGTTTAAGAAAAATTAAAAAATTCAAAAGCTAATACTTTGTTTGTCTTCCCTTTGCATGGATAACTGCTTCCAACCTCCTTGGCATTGATTCCACTTAGTTGGACACTACTTCCGGGGAAATCTTGGACCACTCCTCTTGTAAAATGTCCTTTAGAGAATTTTTACTGGCTATGCTCCTTTTTCTTACTTTTCGGTCCAAATGTTCCCACAGATGCTCAATGGGGTTTAGGTCCGTGGATTGTGGGGGACTATCCAGCTGTTTAGGTGTACGGTAAAGCAACCATTCCTTTATTATTCTTGCCGTATGCTTAGGATCGTTATACTGTTGGAAGATCCAGGATTGATCTAAGCCCAATTTTTCAATACTGGGGAGCAAATTTTCTTTTAAAATATTTAGTTAATTTATTTATTTAGTTCATTGTGCTATCAATCAACACCAGCCTTTACACTCCACTTGCCGCCATACACCCCCAAACCATCACCGAACCCCCACCATGCTATACAGTGGATGTAATATTTTTCTGTTCAAACTCTTGATTTTTGTTTCTCCAAATTTTAGTACTTTTTTTCTTCCTGAAACCTTCGAACGTGCTTTCGTCAAAAAAAATTACGTTAATTCAGAACGATTTGTCCTTATTTTTATATTTTTCCGGAAATTGCAATCGTCGCTTTTGTTTCTGTGTAGAGATGTGTGGTTTTTTCCTCGGTACCCGGCCATAGAGACCATTGGCATGCAACGCTTGCCTGATGGTGCTGGCACTTACGTTCAGTCCGGATATTCTGGACATTTCCTCAGACATTTTTACGGCACTGACAGTTGGATCTATCTTTAGCTCTCACAACTGATCGCATTTCTGTATCACTGAGCCGCTTTGGCCTACCCGAACGTGTTGGATCTTCTAATTCTCCAAACTTTTTTTGCTTATCAATAATTTTTTTCACTGTGTTATGGCTTCTTCCAATTATCGAAGCAATTTCGCGGAAAAATTTTCTGTCTTTCCTAAAATTGATCACTAATTTTCTTACATCCAATGAAGTTTGCTTACCCATTGTCAAATTGATGTGCTCTTGGCAAATTTCCAAACGCAAATAAAATTCTATCTAAATAAGGATACTAAATAACATTAGAATGAAACAATTACAAAGAAAGAACTATGGATAACGATATATTTTTTTGCGTAAAATAAGTATGCGAGGCCTATTACCGTAACTGTACACTTTGTTTTGACGCGTGAAATACTGAGAATATGAGAATTATTTTGTTCGTATTGTTTTTGTATTTATGGATTTTTTTTGGATTGCTGTTAATTTTTTGTAAGAACAATATTTAATCATTCATAAATGATAATTTATTTGAAGATTTTTAGATATTTTTATACTGAGATAAAGACTGAAATGTATGAGAAAATGGTGTACACTTTCTTTTGACGCTGACAGTAGATATATTATATCAGGTAAGTATGTATTTAGCGATGTGCATTTTGGGAATTAATGTTAATGCGAGGTGAGGCAAATATGTTGGTTGGAACAAAATCCCGCATTTCTTGGTATCACGGTGTCAGACTAAAGGGTATTAACTCGGCAACATAAGCCTGAAAATGTTGGCTACTATGCTATAAAAACTCGATTATATGATTATTATTATAACTAATTATGAACTCGTGAGTACGTTATACAGTGACACAACTTATTATTCGTTGAAAGTGGGAAATGGAAAGGCGTGTTTAGTTGATGTTTATCGACCAGAATGTCTTGGGTGCCGACAAGCATAGGTATTATAAAAACTTTTAATATAATTTTAGATTTTATCTGGTAAATAACGTTTGCTCTTCCACTCTTATGCTATGTTACAAAGATATGAAGAAATTCACCTGATTGATTTCTTAAATGTATAATTATCTAAAGTTATTAGGCAACAAATAAAGTAAATGTAATTTTTATTGTTTCAGCATGCTCCTGGTATTCCAAAAGTATTAGTTGGGAATAGACTACACCTTGCTTTTAAAAGACAGGTTTTAGCTAAACACGCAGAGCTTTATGCTTCTCGTAATAATATGTCATGCTTTGAAATATCCCCACTTTGTGATTTTAATATCAGAGAGTCTTTTTGCGAACTCGCTCGAATGGCGCTGCACAGAAATGGTATGGAACGGATCTGGCGTAATAATAAAGGTAAGTGAATGTTCATGTAATCATACATGTATCGCAAACTAACAACAAAAGAGTCTCTCAAAAATTTTCAAAATAATTTTATTACAATATATCAGTTTGTAATACACTTCCCTACATACCTAGGAAACTTTATTGTCATCACTATCGTACTTAACTGGAAACTGACCGTTAGGTCTGCTTATGAGTTAATTGCGTCGTTTGCTCTGCTTGTGCAGTATCAACTAAATAATAGTATGTAGTAATAGCTGTGTCACTATTGCTGCAAAAAATCGTAAATTTTCTGCTGTATTTTGCGAAGTTGTGTCTCTATCTGAAAAAAGTGAGTTAAATTATCTGTTTAGTTTTCAGTTTTTTGCTTCTGTTGAACATTTGTCATTTTTCGAGTTGCCACTCTTTTGTAGTTAGTGTGCGATATACATATATTATTTTTGAAGATATTTTTTTTGAATCAATTTTCTGTATGTAAAACTAATCTGTATGGTTACAAGTAAATTGTGGCTAAGTGAACTAAATTTTAAGTTTAACAATCTTAGATAAATAATGAAGATATATTAATGAATAGTAAGTATGAAGATAATGCCGTGGTAAAAATTAAAATATAAAGATAATAGCGTGTAAAATAAATATGAACCAAATTTCCATCACACCTTTTTTTCTATTCCAGTCGGTACCACTTTGATCCGGTGAAGTAATAATTAACTGAACTTGTTGATGAAGATATAGAGTTCATAAAGCTCGTTAAGTCAGTCGTCTTCCTAGTTTATAGTAGAATTTACTGTATTTTCTGGTAGAATTTCCAATTTTGTTTTGTCAGTTAACCTCTTGTGTACACATTTCTGTGGCTGTAGAACCAACTTCTATTTAATATCCTGAACAGGGTATATTAAGTTTGCCACGAAGTTTGTAACATCCAGAAGGAAACGTCGGAGACCCTATAAAATATATACTAAATTATCAGCATGATGAGCTGAGTTGATTTAGCCGGATGTCCGGCTGTCTGTATATATACAAACTAGTCCCTCAGTTTTTAGGCTATCGATATGAAATTTTGCACTTGTCCTTTTCTCACTAAGAAGCTGCTCATTTGTCGGAACGGCCGACATCGAACCACTATAGCATATAGCTGTCATACAAACTGAACAATCGGAAACAAGTACTTGTATAGGAAAATTTTTTATTTGACGTACTATCTCCACGAAATTTGGCATGAAGCCTCGGTGCAACCGAAGTTAACTTTTTTAAACTAATATTTTCTTTCGTTAAAGTACGGTTAACGATCATCTGGAATTTCGTTTATTGTAAATTTTTTTGAATGAGAGTTCACTAATTTTTGGGAATATGTAAATTCTGTATATGGAATATAAAGGGGTTTTGATTACAATACTATGGAATAATTTTTTTTCAGAAAGAAGATTTTAAGATAGTATCCTCCGAATTGGTGGTTAAAATGTAAATGAGCGGATAGAATAAAATAAAGAATATATATATATACAAGGTGCGCAAGGTGCAAAGTAAACAGTAAAAAAGTAACAAAGTAAACTCTAGTGGCGCCATCTAAATGTCTAGTGCGTTAAAATCTGCTATCCTTTATCGACTTTCAGTAAAAATTTCATGACATTTCATCTATTGGAAGTGAAGTTATTGAGTTTTAAGTGTCAGTATGTTTTTGTCATCGGTGCGAAAATGAGCTTCGAACAAAGAGCCAACATTAAATTTTGTTTTAAAATTGGTAAAACTTTTACCGAAACGTTTCAATTGATGAAACAAGTTTATGGCGATGATTGCCTATCCCGTAGCAGAGTGCACGACTGGTTTCAACGTTTTCAAAGTGGTCGTGTGGACATAAATGAGAAATGAGCCGAAACCCAAAAAATCGTGCCTGGAGAAGTCAAAGGTGAAGACAATGCTGATTTGTTTTTATGATTCCAAGGGTATTGTCCACAAAGAATTTGTTCCACCCGGCCAAAACGTTAATGCGGTATTCTACCTTGGAGTTTTGAAGCGTTTGGTGTGCCGTATTCGGCGTGTTCGGCCCGAATATCGCGAAGATGGAAGTTGGCGTTTGTTGCACGATAATGCGCCGTCTCATCGATCGACGCTTGTGGCCGATTATTTGACCAAAAATCACATTTTAACAATCAACCACTGCCCGTATTCACCTGATATGGTACCGTGCGACTTCTACCTTTTTGGAAAAATGCATTTGCCGATGAAAGGAAAGCGTTATGCAGACGTGGAGGCCATTCAAATGGAAATACCCTAAAAACAAAATCCCTGAAAATTTTTGCCCTTAATATTTATTTTATGTACTGGACCAAGGTGCAAATATGTCCCGTTGAAAATACACGAAAACTGATATTTTATTTTTAAAGCTCTATAGCATAGTATTAGAGCTAAATCACTAACTCCAAAACTGCACTAGATATTTTAACTTTAAGTTTGTGCAGTTTTAAAATTTCGTAAATTTGTAAGAGTTACAACTTAGCAGCAATCGGCACTTTTGTAGAGTGTTCAATTCTGAAAAAAAAACCGATTTATAATCGGTTCATGCAGTAAGAACAATACAGTGGACCGTACCACACACACAGCATATAGGGATAAGCATCACCATACCTTTATGATTCCACCTCTCGCCTTAGAAGTTCTTGCAGTATAGTTGGTGATTAAACTCAATATAGCGTGTGTATGTGTTCGTATGTTATCTATTTTAAAGTGTACATATTTATAGTGCATAATACAATCTTATATCTTAGGTCAAACAAGTTATCATATGAATACATCTTAACCTAACTAAATATGTTTGTATTTTTAATTGTTGTATAAATGCATTCGTGCCTCATATAAATGTATGTGTGTTGCATATAATAATAGACTTTGCGTTGCCAGTCTATTTTATTTTTTTATAAGAAATAAAAGATTCGTTTGTCTTTTATAAATCGTGGTTTATTAAAGAGCTGCAAGGGAACAATAATTTTTATGAAGTGGTTAAAGATACTTATTAAATTGGGGGAGTTGGTGCTGGATCCTCGTTCTTAGTCCTTAATGCTGGAATCGTAGTCCTTTGTCTTGGGCACGCTTGAGTTAATTGTGATCGTCACTTGTCTCGTCAATTCGAGTATTAACTATTACTTGACTCGTCACTTAGAGTATTAGAAATCAACTGTCCTTGTAGAATGTCAAGCTGTGTCTTTTATACTTTCTTCCGTCACTAATAATTTGATCACTTTGGATTTTCATACAATCGGCGAGGTCGTGCTGATGCGTGTCTTGGGAGTCGCCTGACTACGCCGCGGCGATGGGAGGCAGTTAGTCGACCACTGTCGCGCCTCGCGGTGCGGTAAAGAAGTGTGTGATGTTGCTCACCGCACATCTGACAAAGGCCCCTTGACTCACATGCGGTTGTTGCATGGGTGTGCGCCAGACAATTCAGGCAGTGGCCATGTGCCTGGGCGATTTGCTGTCGTTGGACTGGTGACATACCTTTAAATATGCCGCAATGTTGCAACCGGTGTAGGCGACGACATAGCGGGCATCGGAGACGGTGCTGCTCCGCAGACAGCGATGTTGACGGGGTTAGTGGCCGCGTGCTACTACGAGGAGCGATTGGAGGGGCTGTGGTAGCCGTAGTTCGATCGACCTTTTACCGGATTTATGTTTTTTTGATTTATTAATTTTAGCGGTTTTTGGTTCTTATCGGGTTATTATTTACGGTTGTTCGGTATTATCGGCTGTGAGTAAGAAGCATAGCTTTACGAGCGGTCTAGTTAGTGTTCCGGTTTGCGTACGGATATCGACTACTCGGATGTGACCGTCGGAACCATGGTGAAGGTTTTCTATGCGGCCAAGCCGCCATTCGGTAGGGGGGAGACAATCATCGTGTACTAGCACGTAATCTCCAAGCATCGGCGCCTTTTCTGGAGCTTTCCAGCGGTACCTTTTGTGGAGGTCCTTTAAATAATCTTATTTCCATCGGCGGCTAAAATTGTGATAGATAATTTTGATTCTTTCCCATCGGTTTAGTAAGGATAGCGACTCCACGTCTGGCTCAGGTATGGCCAGAATGGGTGCTCCTTTGAGAAAATGCCCAGGAGTTAAAGCGGTGAAATCGGAGAGATCTTGCGAGAGGATTGTGATTGGCCGTGAATTGAGTACGGCTTCAATTCGAATTAATAAGGTCGTGAATTCTTCATAATTAAACTTGTAGTTCCCAGCTACTTTTTTGAAGTGGGATTTGAAGCTTTTTACAGCTGATGCCCATAAACCACCCATATGAGGAGCGCTTGGGGGGATAAACTGCCAATTAATACCTTGAGGTGCGTACTTCTGTACAATCTCAGGTGAGACTTGTTTGATAAGTCCACAAACTGTTTCTCAGTGGCTCTTTTGGCTCCAATAAACGTTTTGCCGTTGTCATTCATTATTTTTGAAGGAAAACCACGCCGTCCGACGAAGCGAGCGAATGCCGCGAGAAAAGCCTCTGTCGTCAGATTTGTACATAGCTCAAGGTGAACAGCTTTTGCCCTAAAACAAACAAAAACTGCCACATAGCCTTTCATTAAAGTGGGAGATCTTAACATTGAAGCCTTTATCTGGAAAGGCCCAGCAAAGTTGCAGCGTTCAGGTGGAAGTGCTGCCATTATCTGCGTTCGCATTTTTTGCTTGTACGTTGTGCAAACTTTGCACATGTAAATGCACTTCTTTATTTGATGCTTAAGACGGGGAATATAAAACTCTTGGCGGACTATTTGTTGCATGAGGCGGTGCTCGGCGTGTAGCATCAGTATGTGGACATAATGCAGATATAATGTGGCAAGCCGTGCTTTTTCTGGTATTATTATGGGATGTCGTTCGTTGTATGTCAGGCTGGAGTTGACAAGCCGACCATTCGCACGAAGCAAACCCTTTGTGTCCAGAAATGGATTTAGTACTAAAAGTGAGCTCTTTTTATCGATTGGCTTCGAATCTTTTAGCAATGATATTTCTCGGCTGATGTAGCGCGT